CTCTTCATTAAATATTTTGGCTCTTTTTTGTTCATACTCTAATATACGCTGGTGTAGACTTTTACGTTCATTGATAACAGGTATTACTGGCGTTTGAACTTCCATTTTTCTTCTTAAAATAGTTATTTGTTTCCCGGATTCATCTTCATTTGACAGCCTCCCCGGGTTGACGCTGTCATTACTTGGTTTCCCTCTTGAAACACACAATATGAAACATCACTATCACATATGAAACATCTCATAGAGTGAAACGACGATTTACATATCTCCTTTACATCATCCTTATTCTTATAATGATTTCCTGGCATACCACAAGTATAGCACAAATTCATGTGGAACGGAGAGTAACATAAGGGTTTATTTACTTGAGCATTTTCCACCATACCACGCGTTGAATTGAGAGAGGCTCCTAATGAATTAGGTGAGGGATTCCTATTACCTCCATAGTTGTAGCTGTGTTGTTTAATTTTACTGTCTACCACAGCCTCCACTCTCGCTATTCCGTCTTCCCTGATTCCTGGCTCAATGGTACCCTTATAGTGAATTTCTGATACAGGACGTCCTTTACTCCTATTTTCTTGTAACAGACGTTCCCCTCTTTTACACTCACTAATGAGGTCCGCTATCGAAGCAAAAGATGCCGAAAACACAAGACTAGCCAAATTTCCTCTTAAGTTGCTTTTTATAATTTGGACTAACTCCCTTTCGGGTATCTTTTTCTTAAGCCTAAACGACAAATTATGAATATCTGCGTAAAATTGCTCGAACGTTTCTCCCACTTGTTGCCTACGTTCCATCATTTGCCTGATTATTTCGTAATCGCTATCGCAAGATCTAAAATGACTTAACAGTTCTTTTTTCAGCTGATAATAGTTGAAATTCTTATCCTCCGCATGGTCCTCCATCACTTGCCAATACCACCTAGCAGCGCAACCCGATACCAAACAGTGAAAATCAGTGAAGAGCTGGTGATAAGAAAGTTCATATTGCTCTCTCATTTTTTCGATACGGAAAATGAAGCTTTCTACAGACATTTCTTTAGTGGTCCCATCAAATTTGATCCGCCATTTATCTAGGAAACAATTTTTTCGGGTCACCCTTTCGTCTTCTTCAAACAATATTGAGTCCCTTCTATGATCCCTTAGCCTAGTATTATTCGCTAAAAATTCAGAGTTCGCGTTTAACTCATCGCTTCCTACTACCGTCTTATTCACTCTATTTCTTTCTACGGAATTAACCCGCCCTTTCAATGAACCTAATTCACTTCTGATATCATGCATCCCACTCGCCAGAACTTGGGTTTGTTGCATCAACATGTGCATCATATCAACGAGTTCCCTTTGACTTTCTCGTTCCATTTTTCCAACATTTTTAACATTCTCTTCATTCAACCCATCATTCACACCATCATTCACACACGCCTCTCCTACCGCTATGACAGGTAACGCACCGCCTACTGCGCCTTCCTTTTCTACGTCTTCTTGATCCGCCATTAGTGAGAGTTTATTCAACTCTGATATGAACTCAGGGGACCTGATAATTGAGGCAATCGCGTTGCGGTTAACTGCTTGCGTCTCCTTTCTTTGGAACAAAATTCCTGCACACAAATTGATATCGCGTTCTGGCACACTATCCGTCGGCCTAATCACGCCTGTATCTATTTGAGTCAGAAGATACGACGCTGCGTCTCTTCCCAAAGCTCTCGCTACACTCCTAGTAAGTCGCTTATTTTCGTTCCTATTGCGTGTATTTGCTTCACCTGTAGGAGTAAACCACTCGCGATCGCTCTCCATGAATCAGAAACAGAATAAAACTGAACAAATTCGTGTAATTTGAATTGTAGCAAAATAGGAAATGTAACTAATTACTGTTGTCTATTTACCCAACTAATTCACCAAAAAAAAATTATACACTATCTCTATTAATTCAAACCGTTTATGAAGAAACAATTTCATAAAAAAAAAATTCCAGTAATAAGTAATATACCAGAGTCAAAAAGCGAAAGAGAATTAAAGAAAGATTTTGACTACTTCTCTTCTTAATTAAATGTAAAACTTAATAAATAAATAAATTATTTCCAAAAAAAATATAATATATAAACAGAAATAAAAAATAGATAATTAGAGATAAGGGTTTTAAAAGAAAAAAAATCAACCACCATAAATAATAATGAATAATACTCAAAATTATTCAAACTAAACTTCAACCAAAATTTGGCATCAATAGGCAAAATCTTAATAAATACCAAAAGAAAAATAACTTCTAAAACAGGTTAAAGCTATTCAATTGGTATACTATACCTAAACGTAATCTAAATATAAAGTGTTACTATTCAATTATATTTAAATGGGTTTTGTAATTTCTACAATATAATAATAATAATGATATAGATGACCTTTGGTGTATTCTCAGTGTTATTATCTCAGGGACAATGTTAAAAAAAAATAAAAATGAGTTGAGTCGCGTTTCTCTCGGTCTTTAGTCCCCCACATAAATTCTAAGAATTATTTGCTGCATTACAATTTGATGCAGTCTGAACTACTGCCAAAAGCTAACACAACTAAAATTCTACACCCACCCATCACAAGCCGTTTCTGAAGCAAGCCTCACAATCACAGGACGTCCTTCTAAATGATCAGCAGCTTCAACTTCAGTCTTCATTCGTACTTTCTATCATTCACGCGCACATTCATATCACCTGCTGCTATACTGACTTTCACGTATAACGTTTCTGACAAACAGCTTCACGGCACCTCAGTATAGCTGCTGGTTTGCTTGTGATTTAAAAGAACAAAAAAAACAAAAACTTAATCACCTCAAACATATCCTGTTCGAATGTATGTTGTAGCGATCAAGCCAAAACACAAACCTAACACTAATTCTGTCAATCCGTCATTCGTGTCCTGTCGATGGTCAGTCGTTCGTATTACGTTCTGTTCTTTCGTTAGTTCCGTACGTTGGGCGCCATTTTGTTACGTTCAACATCTTTATATTCATGTGTGCAGAGTTAGAGTCTGGCACGGTGGCGAGGCCAGCTAGCTCGTCAGAAAAGGGTTGGATTCTTTACTCCGCTATAGCACATCCGAACCGTAACAAAAAAATAAAGAAAAATCGTGCCAGAGAATTTGGTTCAAAAAAATTACAATCAATGATAGTAATTTTATATAATATTAATACCTTGTGTCTATCAGTTTTTTTTTTTTCTTCGTATTGTCCTTGTCCTTGTCGGTCGGTTTGGACCTACCCACCCTCACTACATTACCGTAGTTACCGTTGAGCTGAAGTAACAGGCCCTGTTAAATTCTCTCCAGCTCCCTATTTTCATGTTCGTCCCTGTCCTGTCTAACTCATTTTTATTTTACTGCAACCTAACATTGCCCCCTTCTTCACTTTCACCTGTCACCTATATCTATTGAACTTAAGCCATCATTTTGTTTGAATTTACTTCATTTACACATTTAGTTTGTTACACAAAAAAAAAAAGAAAATCTTATGAATGGAATTATTTTTAATTTTGTTTCTTTTTTTCTTTTTATGGTTTATTATTTTATTATATAATAATACAAAAAAAATTCGACTAAACTAAACTAAGCAAAATTCTCTTCAAATAAAAAAAATACAAAAGAATATATATATATATATATACATAATGTATTCATAATAAAAAACTTACAATCTACTCTTACTATTTAATGCACAACTATATGTATATCCATAATATATTTATAATAAGAAAATAGATAAATATAACGAGAATAAAAAAATAGCTTTCTATACATCAACTTGTTGTTTTGTTTTTTTTTTCCTTTTTTTTTTTTTTTTTCTTTTACATTTAGACTACCAATATTTTAATTACTTTGATTACTCTTACCAACATCGTAGCAGTGACGTCACTCCGCGTTGCTGACCTAAATAGCTACAAAAAAATTAAAAAAAACAAATTGTGGATAATCAAAGAAAAAAATAACAAAACAAAGACACCTGATGTGCTTGATCACTTATAATATATGTACATCATTTAAAGTAAAAAAAATGTATATATTCTAATCTTGCGTGACTAATATCATATCCAAAATAAATTAACAATGAATATTATTTCTACTAATAATTTCATAAATAGAACTAATTAATTCAAGAAAATTAATAAAAAAAACTTAATGTATATATATAAAAAAATTCAAATTATTAAAATAAGTTGGAGAAAAAAATTTTTTTTTTTTTTAATTTAGAAACAAAAAAAATATGAGATTGAATATTTAAAAAAAATTGTAAGACATTATAGACGGCAATAAGTCATAGGTAATTGAACAACTGAGTAAGCATAATATAATTTATTGTTTAAATGAATTTAATGAATTTAATTAATTTAATCATAAGCATTAACGTAAAAAAAAAATCATCTCCTGTAGCACTTCCGCGCGGTCTTAGTATTCTCCGTTGCTATTCTACAACTGTAAGGGTAGCTTACCGTACCAGTTGCTGTTAGATGTACTTGCAGTGAGTCCTAGGGCTAATTCCATATGTTTATCACTCCTTATTGAACTGGACTTATTACACATATAATACGGCTTGTTAGGTTGTTAAATCCAAGTTTCACCGACAGGTTATATTTATATATGGCTAATTCCATATGCTTATCAATCCTTATTGGACTTGATTTATTACACTTATAATACGGCTTATTAGGTTGTTAAATCAAAGTTTCACCGATATGTTATATTTATATATGGCTAATTCCATATGCTTATCAATCCTTATTGGACTTGATTTATTACACATATAATACGGCTTGTTAGGTTGTTAAATCCAAGTTTCAACGACAGGTTATATTTATATATGGCTAATTCCATATGCTTATCAATCCTTATTGGACTTGATTTATTACACTTATAATACGGCTTATTAGGTTGTTAAATCAAAGTTTCACCGATATGTTATATTTATATATGGCTAATTCCATATGCTTATCAATCCTTATTGGACTTGATTTATTACACATATAATACGGCTTGTTAGGTTGTTAAATCCAAGTTTCACCGATATGTTATATTTATTTGAATTTTTTTTCGATCATCAATTTATTCAAAGTTTTGATCATTTAAACCTCCGATTTGTAAAAATATTTTTTTTTTTTTTTTTTTTATTCACTTTAATTATTTTTTTGTATTAATAATAGTTAATTTTAAATGTTCACTTTAATTAATTTTTCAATATATCGTCTCAAATTTTTCACGTCGCTCGCGGACATCAACCGTCTTCTTCCAAAGACTTCCTTTTTCCAAAAAAAAAACTGCAACCAATATCTCTATCTTATATCATTCTCCTCCCGTAATTTAATCCGTTGGACACTCATCCCGTACACTTTTCGGGGTCGTTCCTTGAACCTCCAGTTAATGTTATTTTTCTTTCCACCTTCCGAACACTTTTTTTTTCTTTTTATCTTATTTCAATACTTGCATTACACATTGCTCTGGCAGCATTGATCATTTCAACTTCCAATTTGGCCAAACTTTTTGCCGCGACTCTTGATCAAAACAAAAGAAAACAAAAAAAAAATGTACAAAAGCTTTTTTTTTCTTTTTTTCTTTCTTGCAAATTTTGACATTTCGCTGTGCGTGCAATGCACAGGCTAATTTTAATTTATAAAAAAAAATAAAAATAAAAATAAATAAAAAAATGAGTAGACGGTGTGTCAATAAAATATTACTGCCGCGAATTTGGACAAGGAAGTGCATGCTCACTTTACCAAAGGAATCACCGTGAGACAAGCAGGTGCTGCACTGAGACTGCCTGGACAACGTGGGACATGCGAGGTAATATCATGTTTTTAATTTTCTTACTCATGTTAGCCTATCACCTCCTACTCACACAGGCATACACAACATCTGCCTCTAAGCATAGTCGACACTCTATCTCTTCGGACAGACCTATTTTGTTAAGGTGATAACGCAGTCCATGGTGACCCGTTAAATATCCCACCAGCAACCTCAAATCTGATCTGCTGAGGAGGGATGCCTTGCCATAACTATATGGATGAACCAGCTGTTTTGCCTGACGGTTACCTCGATTGTCACTCCAGTAGCGACCTCTCTCGGCTGAGATCCATTTATCCATTTTAAATATCTATATAAATTATTAAATAGAAATGTGTTATTTTTATTTCTTACTTATGTTTCTTCCGTTTCTTGTAAACATTTGCGATTGCATTGTGCATGCCAGCTAAAAGGTATGAAATAGAAAACAGAGCACAGTCGCTTAACTAATTATTGTGTTTTGCGCATAATTTTTAACCGATTTTGCTCATCAGTATCTTATTAAAAAGATATTTTAATTATCTATCAAATGAGTATACATTAATAACTGTTGAAATAAGATAAAAGATAAAAAATGACCTTGAATTGAAAAATTTCTGTTTTTTGTACTGAAAACCCAACTTTGCTCGAGTGGAGCAACGTCATTTTTAATCCTATTGTTCCAAAACTTTGGGAATATCATTTTTTAAGTCAATGGCATATTCCTAGGGGGTGCGCTCATTCAAAACTTAATTTTTGATTTTCCTCCTTATAACGTGAGCCATCCTAATGCTTCATTGTCTCTACAATAGTCCTTAATTTGTAAGAAAAACCAAATAATAAACATTTCAAATATTACTTGTATCCCTAAACTTAAAAATGGTAAAAATTCATCTTGTGAAACAAGCAATGATTATCACATGCCGTCAATTGAAGAGATTGAATCAGGCGTTATATTGATAGATAGCTATAATGGATATATTTTTATAGACTAAACGCGGCAACATCTATCTGGAAGATTTCACATCAAATTTCATAACAGCCCAATAAAAGTTAACAACAGAACTTTTTAGTAATATAGAGGCTTCACCTTTTCAGATGATTCCTGCAATAATGCAACCAACTCCTTTCAAAATTGACCATATCAATCTATTATTACTCGAGGTTCTTAATGAATTATAAATTAACGATACTGAAATAATCTGCACTAATTAAAAACATATAGAAATTGAAAGATTATAAATCTCCACAATACTCTGCATAATCGTTCTTTTGATCGTATGCTTGAAGTTTTTCTTCAAAGCCAGTTGGAAAATTATAGTTTAGGAACTCCAAATCCCACACACTAGTAACGGGCCTCAAAAGTCAATAAGTTTACAGACTGGCATGGATTATAAAAACTCAATAGAGCTAGAAGCTCTAGTCAAACCACCAAGATTGAACAATATTCCGTTTTTCTGAGTGATTGGGGACAATCAAATTAAGAAGGGAGGAGTTAATACCAACAATATTTTCTGTCAATAAAAAAATATTTCTTCCGAAATATTTCTTTTTAAGTGCACTAATTTCTTGTCACAATTTCTTGAGTTAACTTCAAACAGATAAATTGTCCTTTAACGAGAAAGGAAGGCAACTGCAATTTGTCTAAACTGCCCATTAAGGATTGTAAATATTATGTAACTGGAGATGTTAAAACTTTAAATGTCATTTTAGCTGGATGAACCCATTGCTTATATGTAATAGTTTCAATATAACTGTCATCAAAGATCTCCGTAAGTTGTTAATTGGGCAAGATTCTGTGCTTTAAGTATGCGAATCATGCAGTGGAGGCAATCTTTATAGTCATATGTCGTGTCTATAGTACATACTGTAAGTGATTTTATATCTATCATTAATTTATTCTTTCGTGTATGGAACACAAACAATTTGAATGTGGGCCACTTGCTCCAGCAAAAACGCAATACTGCGGTCGTGAAGATGCAAATTCAGAAAAACTACCTTCGAAGTCTGGATGGTTTAGTTTGAAAAGAGTATGCAGCTCTTTCAATTTGACTGTTGTCATCATATTGATAAAGATGGAAAATCGCCTCAGTTACATGGTTTTGAAGCGATCATTGGCTTTTTAATTTGAATCTTCTAATATACCTCTTTCTAAAGCAATTTTTTTAGCAACAGTAATCATATGCTTTATAGCGTTTGGAAAATATGTCGTGACCCTTCGAAAAGACCAATTAAGCATTACACACAATATTTTTATTTTCATAGTTCTATCTGCAGTGCCATTAAATTTTTCTTATAGATTTTTTAAAATTGGCGCGAGTCATTTTCTTTTTCGCTATTGTTAGTGTTGTAGGCTTATCCTACTTAATTTAATTCTTTATTTATTTATTTAAGCAAGAAATAATTATTCAATTTTGTGTGTTGAAATTGCACGTGTCTGTTGTTTTTATTCTTCGTTTTCCCAAACGTAAAAAGAATGAAAACCGTATTTTTATTAAATAAAAATATTATTAGTTTTTAAAAATTTTCTTTTATGGCCAACTCATCTTATTTTCAATAATTTACTTGTCCGTGTTTGCATGGCCAACCCATATCATTTTAAACATTAATGTGAATATGCAATCGCCACATCACTCCCCTGGTAGTGACTAAGTCATGTGCGATGTCACGTTAAGTCAAATTTAACATATCTTCTTGGAACCTGCACTAATCGTCCCTTTCGTGTTACATTACTAGGTTTGGTATCCATTCGAGTATCTGCCATATTTTCTGTACGTGATGGGCTTACGTCTTCATTGTCACTTGATAAAAATGCTGCCTTTACCCGATTAACACTCACCCGCACCGGTTTTCCTTTGATTAGAAGATCATACGTCTTGTCTGAACGCCTCACAATCTTAAATGGCCCATCGTACGGTGTTTTTAATGGTGGGCGGACACTATCATTCCTCAAAAACACGTGAGTAGCATGTTGTAGTTCCTTCTGTAAGAATACCTTTTCATTTGAGTGATTTGATGTAGGAACTACATCATCTGTGTAATGTTTTCCATGAATTCATGTTCTGGGATTTTATCATTATAACCTTGTTCCAGGAAATCGCTCGGCAACCGCAAAGTTGTCAAATATCCTATTTCTGCTGGAGTTGCTTTCAGGTTTTCTTTAAAGATATTTCGAAGCGCTAACACAATCAAAGGTATTGCTTCATTGATGTTCATGCTTACATTTCATTGCAGTTTTTAGAGTCCGATGAAAACGTTCAATCAAACCATTCGCTTGAGGATGACGTGGACTAGTTCGGATATGTTTGACACTAATAAGTTTCGCTAATTCATTAAACAGTGCTGACTCGAACTGTCTTCCTTGATCTGTTATGATCTTTTTCGGAACGCCAAAGTGCATGATCCAACCATTAATGAGCGCTGTGGCCACCGTGCTGGCATATATATCCTCGATAGGGACTACCGCTGGCCATCTGGTAAACCGATCAATACATGTAAGGCAATATCGGTAACAGTTTGATGATGGTAGAGGCCCAATAAGGTCAATGTGGATTACAGCGAGCCGCTCACTTGGTACGTCAAAATTCAAAATTGCTGATCTATTATGTTGCGTGACTTTTACTCGTTGGCACGGAAGACATAATTTAACTTGCTCCGCAATGTCTTTAGCCATGCCCGGTTATACGAAACGTTCTGCTATTTGCTTAATAGTGGCTCGCCGACCAGCATGTGCCAAATTATGTATTGAATTAAAGACGCATTGTCTAAACTGTTCAGTTACAAAAGGACGCACACGATTTGATGATACATCACATGCAATTTCCTTAGATGATTTTGGAATGAGTATCCATTTCAGTTGAAGTGCAGATTTATTCGTATTAGACAGAAAACCATTTGTTTCAATATCGGTTTTCTGGCTTTCTGCTAATTGATCAAAGTCAACTAGGTCTTCGTTGCTGATAGCTTCGATGCGTGACAGAAAATCAGCTACCGGATTATTCTTGCTAGCTATATGCATAATGTCAGTTGTGAATTTACCGATGTAATCTAAATGTCTTAGTTGACGTGGCGATGCCTTTTCCGGTTTCTGTCGAAATGCATACGTTATCGGGTTATGATCAATGAAAATAGTGCAACGTCTACTTTCAATCGCATGTTTAAAATATTTAACCGATTGGGAAATCGCGAGCAACTCACGGTCGTACGTGCTGTACTTGGCTTGAGTATTCGTCAACCGCTTTGAGTAAAATCCCAAAGGCTCGAGTTGTCCGTTATTGATTTGATTTAATGCAGCGCCAACAGCTACGTTACTGTCATCCACGTGAAGTACAAGGTTTGCGTCTGGAATTGGATGAACGATTGTTGTTGCATTAATTAACAGTTTTGTCCTGTTTTTTGTTACCCTTAATTAAGTTCTGAAGCCGTCCTTGGATCTCCGCCACTTTTGGAATAAAACGTCGATAAAAATTGATAATTGCAATGAATCGCCGTAAATTTGCAATCGTCACAATTTTCTTGCCTGGGGAACGAATTCCTTTATGATTAATAAGATGACCAAGGAATGTTACTTCTTCCTCTGCGAACACACATTTTGCAATGTTTATTTTCAAACCATGTTCCTGGAGAAGTTGTAGCACGCTACGCACATGTTGTATGTGCTCGTCTATGTTATCGGATGCGATGCAAATATCATCAATATAACATATGGCAAACTTAAACCCGAAAAGAACTTGGTCCATGAACCTTTGAAATGATTGTGCTGCATTACAAAGTCCAAAAGTCATCATATTAAATTCGTACAGGCCGAAAGGTGTAATTATTGCTGTTTTTTCTCTATCCTCTTCAGCAACCGGTATATTAAAGTACGCCTTTTCTAAATCCAACGTTGTAAAAATGTGTTTAGCGAATGCGTGAAATCTTACATGTGTGGAATAGGATAGCGGTCAGGAACTGTTTGGGCGTTAAGTCGACGGTAATCGCCACAAGGTCGCCACAAACCTTTTCCTTTTTGCATCAAATTTAGTGGACTCGCCCATTCACTCTTGGATGGTCTACAAATTCCTTGTTTCAACATATACTCGAACTCCTTCTTGGCTGCTTGCAGTTTTTGCGGATTTAACCGCGGTGCACGCGAAGAAACAGGCTGACCAGTGGTGATAATCTGGTGGCGAACCGTAGTCTTAGGCTCGTTATTGTAATTGTATAATACAGGCATTGTCACCTCTTTGAATGAGTTTAATAGCTCTTTGAATTTGTGGTCATTCTGAATGGAAAACATTGGCTCATATCCAGTGTGTTCCGATGCACATTGGGTACTCAACTTTGTTTGTGTATCGCTCAGGCATCTACGTTTTACATCTACTACAAGACCGAAATGTTTCAAGAAATCGGTACCCAAAATTGATTTTGAAACATTGGCGATTATAAAATTCCAATCAAACTTCCTACGAAGGCCTAAATTCATTGATAGCAACTTGTTACCGTAGGTTGGAACAGCCGAACCATTCGCTACATACAATGATTGCGATGTTGATTGTAGCTTGGAGTTTTTGAATCGAGACACTGGTAGTATTGAGAGATCAGCTCCAGTATCTATCAGGAACTTTAATTGTGTGTTTCGATCCGTGATGAACAGGCGGCGAGACGTATTTACAAATTGGTAAAAGAGAATTTGCTGAGGGAACTAAAAGCCATACCTGCACGGGACTACGAAAAGTGTATGAAAAATTGGGTTAAGCGTTGACATATGTGTTCAGAAGGAGCATATTTTGAAGGAGATAAAATAAATTAGGAATAAAATTTAAATTTGTGTGTATTTACAAAATCTGAATACTTTTTGAGCAGAAGGTATAATATGTAATCAAACCAATGATTCTAATTTTTGTTTCTTATTGCTTTTCGTTTTTGCACTTAAGATGAGCAATTTTGTTATATTTTTTTGGTTTCAAGCAAACTTCGTTGGTTTAATTCTTTCTCTTGCAAAAACGAGCTCTAAGTATGACACGCGGGTGCGCACAAAAAATGATAACCTAATTACAAAAAATTAAATTGTATTATAAAAATTGTATAATGTCAATAAAAATCAAATAATAAATTATAAAACGTGTATAATTTGGCAGTTGATTTGGTAAACAGTGTGAGGCGGTCGTGCCCGGTATATATTTAAAAAAAAACAAACATTCATAAAAACGCTTATGAATTTTACAGTAAATTTATTATTTATATTCTTGCATTATATATATATTTTGGAATAATTTGTTGCTTACATAATTCACGTTTTAATTGTTTTTTTTTAGTCCAATGCCTTTGTTATTCTCTGATTAAAAATAATTGAAAAGAATAGAAAGAAGCGTTTAGCATGAGTATTCAATCGATACTGATTTTATTTAAGAAATTATTCTTTATTTATACAAAACTTGTCTTAAAACTTACTTAACTAATAAGGGTTGAAATAATTTGTTTCCTGTTATCGTATTATTTTAGTAACATTTTACATTGTTTCGCAAAAAGGTTCAAAAAGGATCCCGGCACTTAGGATTACAATATATTTTTATTATCGTAATTTGATACGGTGCCATAAAATATTTTAAAATGTGTTTTAAAATTGCAGAATATTGCTATTTTAGTTTTAGGTTTTTTATTACCTGTGTTTATTTATTTCCTTCATTTACAATTCTGAGAATTTAATGATAACAGGTTTAAAATAAACTATAAATTTAAAGACACTACTAGTCGCCAAGACACTACTAATTTCAAGGTAACACGCTCGATGTAATAACGTCCTCTTCCAGCATCTCCTCCACTTCTTTGTTTATTTCTCGCTTGTGGGCCTCTGGTAAGCGATATCGTCTAATATTTATATGGGGTTTCCCTGGTTCCGTGGGTTTTTCATGCTTTAGTGCAGTTGAACATGTTAGTTTGTCCGCCTTTAGAATTAATATACCATTGTTATCCCGAAGGTTGTCCGTTATGACTGATTTCTCTTCCTCCTTGATGTTTTCGTTGAGCTTCACTGAGTTCATCAACAGATTGAAATGTTCCACGTCCTCTCTGTTCCTTGCTATGTTTATGTTACTGTCATCTTCCAAGGTTGAAGCTTCGTATAGCTTCAAATAGGAGTATAGGAGTGCCTCCTATATATGGCAACATTTTCAACTGGTTCACCACTGGATTTCACGAATTACTTTTATCGGAACAATTTTTGCTGTTCTAACAGGGATCGTAATAATTTTGGCTACACAAATCCGTTCATCAGCCTCTGCTCGGGTCAATGGGAGATGGCCAGTTTTTACTCATTATCCTGAAAAATCAGCTTTTTAAGTACGGTGTCAGCAATGTATCGATTCCAGAGCACGTCCCTAGCCAGTAGGGCATCTGCTGGTAATCCTGTCCCTTCCAGAACCATGTGCATTGCAAAAATGAGTTCAGGTATTTCTTTATGCTGTATTCTTGTTGATCCTATTGTGTGAGTTTTCCACCCAAACGCATCAAGAAAACTTTTGGTGTTATCTTTGTTCAAATTTACCCTCTTTCTCAAAGATTCAGGGTTGATCAGACTAGTTTCTGTCCCGAAATCCAACAAAACTACCAATTTTTCGTGAACTGCTTGGTCACATTGTAATATAATGAAGGCGTCATCCTGGCTATCTACTCAAGTACCGCAATTAACGTCTCTAACTTAGCTGTAGCTTCGTTTCCGTGATGTGTTACATTCAGTGGCCTGTTGCCTCTTATTGTTACATTTCTTGAAGTTAAGGTAAATTGTGAATATTATAAACAAGGCTATCTATCATTGATTGTATGAATCGTGTTAAAGATTTCTTAACCAGACACCAATGATCCTTGTAGGTATCTCTTCCTATCGGAAGATCGGAACCGTTATAGTATATCTGTTACTTCTTTTCAAATGATACCTTCACGGACAGAGTTCTAAACTTATTGTATGCTTACAATTATTACATATTATTGAATGGGCCACTATTTTTCCATGCTCATTTAAATGCAGTGCTGAGGCTGATAAAATGTAGCTCTTATCGTGCGTTGAATTCTTTACTGGGGAGTATAACTCTTCTACTGAAATGCGAGAAATATCGCATTCGTGAATATCCTTTGGCGTGGAATGAACCGGTCTTAGTTTCTCTCATTTTGGGTTATTGATGCCCTTCGAACTTCTAGGTTCCGTTTGCACTAGTTTGTAACCTTCCACAAAACTTTCCACATCTGCTGTTAGGTCTGGACCGTCTCCTCCTGTGAATATCGGGTAGATGTTATTGACGGAGTTTACGATTTCAGTCACTTTTGCCATCTTAAGCTCCTAGCTCTCTTCTTGTGTTTTTCAGTTGTACTTTAAGCGTTTCAATGACTTGCTCCTGTTCTACAAGTTTGCCGTTCTTCAGAGTAAACGTAAAAGGGAAAGTGTCTGATTAACATAGGAAATGCCAGCGCGACCCTACAATTATCCATGCGTAGTGAACTAATGTGTGCAGCGAAATTCTCCTAATGGATATATGAGATTATGCGTCGGGCTTAGAACCCACCATTAAAAAACACTTTTCAACGAAAACGAAGAGACAGCCTCGGATAAGGAAACGATTTACTGATGACGACAATTGTAAACACTATTATTATGTTGACGCTAGTTGAGTCAGTGCAATTAAGCACTTTTACTCTCTATTAACTAATTACATCATATTTTAAAGACAGAATACTCTTATATGATACAGACTCCTGATCCAAAACATATAAGATTACGGGAGGGGTTCCCCAGGGATCAGTTCTAGGGTCAATTCTTTGGAATATCATGTACGATGGTATCCTTCGAATTGGAAAGCCGGACGGTGTAAACGTAGTTTGGTATGCAGATGATATTGCAATAGTAGTGGTCGCAAAAACTCTAGATGAAGTGGCTAGGAATTGCAACGTTACTATTGCAGCAGCTAAGTCGTGGTTGCAAAACAGCGGATAAGAGGTCGCTGAGCATAAAACTGAGGTGCTGTTAAT